AAGTACATATAATCAGCTCAAGCTACGTCACGGTTTTGCTCACTTCAACTCTTTTTATCTCGATATTATTGTTTTGGCGAAACGACCAGTAGTCGATCGACAGTCGATAGCGCGCGACGTGGCGCATCACTAATTGCGTACAAATAGTTTTTTTTGTTCACAAATTATTATTTTTTTATCGTTTTTTTTTTATATTTGCTAAAACAACAAGTTAAGTGTACGTGGGTATATTTGTAATAATATTAAATTCGTGGGCCAACACAATTATGATATAATTACATTTCATTTATTATTATTTTTTAACTCGATTAATTTGAGAATGAATATTAAAATAGTACACAGTTTGACGTTAGCGGTGCGAAAATATTATAATATGATTTCTGTGTCTAAAACTACACGAATACCCATCTTTCGATCATATTTAATTTTCATAATTTAGTATTATTTTCCATTTAATCTTAATATTTAGTGTTTACTCGCACAGTGACATTGTTTGGGTGGTCAAACTAAAAAATACACCGTTACAATATTATACAATAACTCAGAAATTTCAAGCACTTGTTTGACAATGGAATAATTAGCGATCCAATGTCAAATAAAGACGTTTAATACAATTGTTGTGTTTAACATATTATTATTTAGATTTTTGTTTTTAAGATACAAAAAGGTAATGTAAATTTATCACGAAGTGGCTTAGTCTTCAGTGTGATCATGATAAGAAATCATCATACGTTATCCCTAATGATGTCGTAAATGTGAATCAAAAATCTTCATTTTTTTTTTATTGCTTAGTTGGGTGGACGAGCTCACAGCCCACCTGGTGTTAAGTGGTTACTGGAGCCCATAGACATCCACAACGTAAATGCGCCACCCACCTTGAGATATAAGTTCTAAAGTCTCAAGTAAGTTACAACGGCTGCCCCACCCTTCAAACGGAAACGCATTACTGCTTCACGGCAGAAATAGGCAGGGTGGTGGTACCTACCCGTGCGGACTAACAAGAGGTCCTACCACCAGTATAAAAAAAGCATAAAATGATATAATATTTAGAACGGATTCTTTTTTGAAAATAATTTAACCTCTATATGAATACTATATAGGTAAAAAGGGTGTTTTATTTATTAAGGAAAATGCGATGAGTGGATCCCAAACCTGAGGATGGATCGTGGGATGAGGATGAGTGGAGTTACTGGCAAATCATTTTAAGTTTCCGGAATCAAAGGTCATCTCTTTATATCAATGAGCAATAAAACACTATTTTTTATTTAAAAAAAAAACATTACGTCATTCTATAAACGCAAATAATACATGAGTAATTTCATCGTAATTTTCATTATATTTTAATGGCCACTTAAAGCTGATCAGGTTCCGGATATAAATTTTACTTTTGTTAATATTTACATATATATATAATGTGCATTGGTTGCTCGTGAGCACCCATAGACCTATCGCTTCATAGGACATCGTTCGTGACCTATTGAACGAGCCGCGTTATCGTAGAGNCAAAATGTGTGCAATTCACACGTGGTAGAAGTGAAACCTTCCAAAATTAAAATACAATTATCCTAAACGTCTTAAGTATATGTAAAATTTTGTCATTAGTAAATAATTGTAAGGTAGCGCCCTCTGTGAATTGATATTTTAATTTCACGTATAATCCTAAATTAAAATTCACTACAAGAGCTTTCATACACACGTCAGTGTTAAAAAATCTCACAGATGGCGCTGTATTAAATAGTATGTATATTTCTGTCTCATTCTTTGCTGGCTTCATCCTACACATTTTTGTATTTGTGTCTCTTACCTGTCGTTTTTTCCGTTGCATCCGGTTTGAAATCACAACGATTCTAAAGAAGTTTTCACTTCAATAATATATATAATGTGCATTGGTTGCTCGTGAGCACCCATAGACCTATCTCTTCATAGGACATCGTTCGTGACCTATTGAACGAACCGCGTTATAGTAGAAGTAGTTCGCGAGTTAATTGTAGCTGATGACAATACAGCCGTAGTCTTTCGTGACCTATTGAATGAGCCGTGTTACCGTGGACGTAATTCGTGAGCCCATTTAATCGATTACAGTATGCTTAGTGCGAGTTTTTTAACGTTCTCGATAGCGTAAAAGTTAACTCAGATTTGTATGGAGTTTAACGTTTGGCTACGTTTGCCGCTAGGGCCGCTGTTCTAACTGCATACAAATTCGAGTTAACTTTAACGCTATCGAGAACGTTAAAAAACTCGGACTAAGCCCACAGAACCGTTGTAGTCGTTCATGAACTATTGAACGTATCGTGTTGTATGTCCAAATAGTTCATGAGCGCATCCAATTGTAGGAACGTGATAGTTCCTAAAAACACATTCGGTACATGATTAATTTTCTTGCGATATACTTAGATCGGAAACTGTTTACAGCACTGAATCTGGTGGTAGGACGTCTTGTGAGTCCGCACGGGTAGGTACCACCACCCTGCCTATTTATGCCGTGAAGCAGTAATGCGTTTCGGTTTGAAGAGCGGGGCAGCCGTTGTACTGTTACAAATGAGACCTTAGAACTCATGTCTCAAGGTGGGTGGCGGCATTTACGTTGTAGATATCTATGGGCTCCGGTAACCACCCAACACCAGGTGAGCCGTGAGCTCGTCCACCCATATAGCAATAAAAAAATTCTATTTTTATTTTTTATGACACAGTTTTTAAAATTTTACGACCCACAAAGTCCGCACAAAGAGCCACAAATAGATGGTTTTAAGAAAAATATCTACTAACGTTTGTTCATTAATGTATAACAAGATGATGTTTTTTTTTTTGATAACGCCATCTTGTTGTGTCTTTAAAGCGGCTAGTTGCCCTCAATTAAGAAAAATAGTATTATTATTCGCCAATAGATGTCGGGAAGAGTTGATTATTGAGAACACGGATAAAACAACATTTTCTGAAAATAAATCGTAGCTAGATCGATTTATCGCCCCCGAAATCCCCTATATACTAAATTTTATGAAAATCGTTAGAGCCGTTTCCGAGCTTCAGATTATATATATATATATATATATATACAAGTATTGCTCATTTAAAGGTATAAGATATATTTATTTGTCGTTAAATAAATACCACGCTGTACGTAGGAGGCGTGGATGAGGTGTTCGTCCTAGAATTCTCGTATCAATGTGTTATTGTGTTATATTCTGTGATTTACAATTGTTGATTGGAAGTTATTGTTTTTTTTTTATTGCCGGATAGGCAGACGAGCATACGGCCCACCTGATGGTGAGTGGTTACCATCGCCCATGGACGCCGTGGACGTGGTATAGCCAAGCCGCTGCCTACCGTTTAATACTCTCCATTGTCCTCGAAGGCTGATGAGTATGAGGAATAATTTGAGACTGAATGAGCACAGTCGCTCATGGCTGTCCAGCCAGTCAGGGGCATATTAGCAATAAATTTCTATTGTGTGTTATTGATATTTGGTTCTTTTCGTTGTCAAGGTTTTCGATCGCTGGTCTAGCTAATAATGCCACTAATTTTCTCTTTTTTTTTCTTTACGTACGCTATGGCTGGTCTTACAGGGCTCAACCTTAGAGAGCTTGCTAACACTATCCCTAGCAATCTTTTTGGTTTTTTTTTCACTTAATCCTGTATTTTCGTCACGTAGATCTAGACTAGGGTTGCCAGATTTTTTTTCAGCCTATAAGGGGCAAATGCTTAAATAGCCAAAAAAAACGTTAATTTAGTTTTTTACCCGGGACAAATAAGAAACAAAATTATATAGTGACATTCTTTATTTATTTATTTTTAATATTTATCCGATGAGCAAGTCAGTTTTAACATATTTTTATCAGTATGTTAACATATTTATAAAAATCAATACAATTATAATCGTAGGGTTCGAATATGGGACAGAGTCAGTTCCGCCGGGACATTTTAAAGTAAGTCTAAAATACGGGACGTCCCGGGAAATACGGGACGTCTGGCAACCCTAACTAAAAAATCAAACATATTGGGTTTTCTTCGTGAATACTATATTTATTTGTTTTAATAAACTTAGTTAAAGTGTTTGTTTCATTAACGCACGAAGTCTATGATCCGGTGTCGTAGCCGATATTTCAATATACATTACGTGCTATAAAAAATAATAACAATTTGAGCACCATTTTGGTTTAATTACATTCTGAAATGACCATGTAAAAAGGTCTACCAGCTACAATTATTAGTTAATTTCATACGTCGCCCAAAACACGTCATTACGGATCCTCCCGATCCATTAACGGTACTTTTAGGTACTACAAGCACCGTTAAGGGCTCGACGAGCGAATTAATCCATAGACACAGCCCATTGAGTTTCTCGTCGGATCTTCTCAGTGGGTCGCGTTTCCGATCCGGTGGTAGATTCTGCAAAGCACTGCTCTTGCTAGGGCCAGTGCTAGCAACACTCCGGTTTGAGCCCCGTGAACTCTCCTACATGTTAGGGCCAAACTAAAATAGCCTCTCAAGGTTATCATCAGCATATTCTTCTGGTCGTTCCCTCAATGCTGAGGATCGTGACTGTATGTCAATCTTCTCCACTCGGTCCAGTTCTGCGCCCTATGTACCGCTCCCTGTATCTGTATCGTCAGCATAAGTAGAAAAAAGGAGTTAATTTTGTTCTATAGGTTACGTGAATTAGGCGCCAAAATCTCGATCAACCTTCAAAGCCGCAAAGTCACAAACAAGCAGGAAAACCAGTCAAAGATACAATAATTAAACACGCAAACATTACAATAATGTCCTTAATCCGTTCGTCTTACTTCGATTATGAGTTCTAACACGACAGCGATAAATGTGATTTTTCTAATTGAACAGATTAAGTACATAAAAGTTATTGCTCTGCAAGATAAATAGGATTCACTAGTCGTTGTGGCGAAAAGATTTGCTTTCTGCTCATAATATGACGCATTGGATCATATTACATTGTTGAGAATTGCAATAATGTACATTTAAAAACATTAGTAATACTAAGTAAAATTTTGATTGGATTTCTATCCTCTTCTAACGCGAACGTTAAAGTGAGATAAAAAACTCCGATAGCTACTTGCCCTTCTGCCAATGTAACGTTAAAGACGTATTGATTAGAAATTAATTAACGTTCATATTAATTCGCTTGCCAAAAATCGAATAGACAATTAAGTGTTGGTCCAAGAAATAAAATGTATTAGATTTGTTTGTGTTTTGTTGTTGTAAATAGTAAAGTGTCAAAATGAGAAATGAAAGTGACAAATCGAACGAGTGGGAGAACGAAAAACTGAACCCGAACGGATGGTAAGTGCTGATTTTATTAATACGCTTTTATTAGCTTCAGACGTATGTATGTATGTTTGTAACGGAATCTTTGAACATGATTTTGATCATCTTTAAAACGTCAGATTAACTCGAAATTTGGTATACTTATTAAGGACCGAAGACAATTAAATATTAAAAAAAAAACTTTGAAAAATAAATTTGAAAAAATTGAAATTCAACTAAAAAATGAAAAATAAATAATAGTTTAAAACTAACAAAATACACTTTTATAGAAAATCCAACTATAAAATAGAAAATAAATTTGAATTAAAAATAGTGTAAGAAAAAACGATTTCATTGTAAAAAAGCGTTGGGTGCTTTTCAGGATATTATCATATCTGTTCATAAAATATTTATAACTACTTGTACCATGCACCCCACGCTTTTTTTACAATAAAATCATTTTTTCTTACACTATTTTTAATTCAAATTTATTTTCTATTTTATAGTTTTATTTTGTAGTAAATTAAAATTAACATTACTATATATGGTCATTATTATTAGGGAGTCCAACACTCATATAAATATTAGACTATCCATTAAGTACGTGTATTTTCTACATAGATACCAAGGTTCAAGTCAATCGGATGCATGGTTCAGTAGTTATAACGGAACATCCGTAAAAAACACTGTAGATTTACATATTAGTATAGATATATGTAAAAACTTCCGTGTACTCAGCACAAGATTTAAAATCCAATCTAATGCCGTACCTACAGCATATTTTTCGTCTAATCTAAAATGCCTTTCGCGGCCTTTTATCTTCTTTGTCGACATTTCAATGCTAAATTCATTATCAATATGCGTAATATCGTTATTATAATCCATCACAATTGCGAACCGTTCGCCGATAGCCTTATCGTCTATCGATGTTTAGTGATGTGGCGATTGATATATTTAGATCGTGTTTTGTTTCAACAATCAAACGTTATTGTCGCCTGTTGACTGTTGCTACGCGATTGCTCTGCTGTATCGAACCTCATTTGTTTAGAACTATTTTGTGCGGATAGTGAAATGGGGAAAAAAAAGGGTGCGTGTACTTATGTACGCGCGTAAGAAGTTATACTTTATTTAAATATTAAATAATTAATAATAAATATTTAACGTTAATAATTTAATAGTATTTAGTATGAATTATATTAAATAATAATTTTGTCGTTTATATTACTGAAAAATGAATGCTAATAACACTTTTTTTTACGAGTGTACATGCGCGAAAGATCACCTGCGGCTATATTCAGACTCGCCAAGTTACTTAAATAATTAATAATAAATATTTAACGTTAATAATTTAATAATATTTAGTATGAATTATATTAAATAATATACTACTAAAAATGAATACAGATAACACTTTTTTTTACGAGTGTACATGCGCGAAAGTTCACCTGCGGCTATATTCAGACTCGCCAAGTTACGTCGGTCGTATTGTAATGAGCGATTTAGTGGGCAACTTCATTTCTGTTAATTTCGTGTCACGGTGCGCGCGCATCGTAAAATTTCACGTTTTACGTTTTCGCGCCTAAAACAAAACTACATACTATAATATTTAACAATGTTATTTTGGCATGATTTTGGCGCTGTTTCGAGCACCGTGTTCGCGGGTCGACTTAAAACTTTATCTTTTTTATTGCTTAGATGGATGGATGAGCTCACAGCCCACCTGGTGTTAAGTGGTTACTGCAGCCCATAGACATTTACAACGTAAATGCGCCACCCACCTTGAGATATAAGTTCTAAGATCTCAGTACAGTTACAACGGCTGCCCTGCCCTTCAAACCGAAACGCATTATTGCTTCACGACAGAAATAGGCAGGGCGGTGGTACCTACCCGCGCGAACTCACAAGAGGTCCTACCACCAACTCCGGGTAGTATGCCGATGTCTCTTTCTGCTCCGTATTTGGATATTCCCATTGAAACTCGATGACTCGCTCCGATTCTTTGAATAAATTTCAATTGCATGTTATCTATATTGGCTCTTTTGATTGACAAGGTTATGAGTTGTCTATGGGTATGATGCTTGCTCCGAATGCGACAGGTACCGGGTTCAGATACCGGACGAGCCCCCAAAATTGTGGGATCCTCTATACGATTCAGGCCAATAAAACAGTTGATTGCTTTTTTTATTACCTTTGTAGGCAGACGAGCGCACGGCTCACCTAATGGTGAGTGGTTACCGTCGCCCATGGACTTCAGCAATTCCAGGGGCAGAGCCAAGCCGCTGCCTAATACTCTCCACAAGCCTCGTTTGAAGAAGGACATGTCACTTCAAGGTGCTTCACACAAACATGATTTTGTTTGTGACACAGCCCACTGAGTTTCTCGTCGGATCTTCTCAGTGGGTCGCATTTCCGATCCGGTGGTAGAATCTGCGAAGCACTGCTCTTGCTATGGGCAATGTTAGCAAACCTCCCGGTTGGAGCCCCGTGAGCTCATCTACACGTCAAGGAGAAGCTGAAATAGCCTCTCAAGGCTATCAGCATAGGCAGGGGAAAAAAAAGACTCTGCTTATAAGCTTACTTGGAACACCCAACTACGTAATATAAAATTAAGTTGTTCGTTTCTCTGGCGGTAGGACCTCTTGTGAGTCCGCACGGGTAGGTACCACCACCCTGCCTATTTCTGTCGCGAAGCAGTAATGCGTTTCGGTTTGAAGGGTGGGGTAGCCGTTGTAACTATACTGAGACCTTAGAACTTATATCTCAAGGTGGTTGGCGCATTTAGGTTGTAGATGTCTATGGGCTCCAGTAACCACTTAACACCAGGTGGGCTGTGAGCTCGTCCAGTCATCTAAGCAATAAAAAAAATATATAATAATAATAAAGGTTTAGACTGAAATGTTTGTTTCCAATCATTTATACCTTGCACTTTTATATAAAAAAGACTTTGCTATTTTATTTTATTAGGAGCTAACAGTAATACGTTTGAATTAAATCATTCAAAGATCTCCTCCTCCTTGCGTCGTATTCCTCATTGCTGAGGGTCGTGACCACCCTTTTGTATCACCTTCGCACGCACGATTTTTCTCCATCCATTCTTGTCTCTGGCGGTGTGGAGGGCGTTGTGAAACGTGGAATCAAGAGCGGTGCGGATCTGGTCGGACCAACGTATTGGGCTGCGCCCCCGAGGTCTTTTCCCATCTACCTTACCTAAANCTCCTTGCGTCGTATTCCTCATTGCTGAGGGTCGTGACCACCCTTTTGTATCACCTTCGCACGCACGATTTTTCTCCATCCATTCTTGTCTCTGGCGGTGTGGAGGGCGTTGTGAAACGTGGAATCAAGAGCGGTGCGGATCTGGTCGGACCAACGTATTGGGCTGCGCCCCCGAGGTCTTTTCCCATCTACCTTACCTAAAAAATTCCCTAAATTCAAAGATACTTTATTGTTAATACTAGCTTTTGCCCGTGACTTCGTTCGCGTGGAATAGTTCACAAATAATGCTTTATTTTAGAACAAATTTGGTTAGCATAAAAAACGTTATAGTGAGCCAACCTTAACATATAGACATATGTTGTCGCGGACTTTTTTTTAGACCTTTTTTAGGGGAACAATTCTGTCAAACATTATTTTAGCGAAACTTTAACCGTTTCTGCAGCGCACGCAGCGGAAGCTCTCAAAAGGTAAAAATAACCCCGATTTTGAAACATTCTTTATTGGTGTTCCGCTTGTATTGATCTTAGCATCATGTTATATAGCCTATAGCCTTCCTCGATAAATGAACTATCTAACACTGAAATAATTTTTCAAATCGGACCAGTAGTTCCTGTGATTAGCGCGTTCAAACAAACAAACTCTTCAGCTTTATAATATTAGTATAGATTTGCTAGTAAACATGGTTTTGAATAGAAAGATAAGAAAAGATAACTTATCCTAAGTACTAACGTCTTGAGTTCCTTAGTTGCATTCTTACAATGATTTAATAGGTCCGCGCGTATCTGGAATAGCCTTCTAGGCTACCAGCATATAGGTATAGAAAAAAATAATAGATAGATTAACACACCTTTCAGTTTATGTTATTTACGCGGCAGAAATCGACACCACCTAACCCATGCGTCAGCCCGCTGAGTTTCTCGCCGGATCTTCTCAGTGGGTCGCGATTCCGATCCGGTGGTAGATTTATTCGCGAAGCAATTGCTCTTGAGTTGTTAGGTCTCCTTCGGAGGCGCTCGGGCAGTTATTAGCAAATCCCACCCCTCCTGGCTGAGCCTTTGCTCGCCCACTTGTCCTGGTGAAGCTGGAAAGGCCTCCGGGCCACCAGTAATCTTTCAATCATAAAAAAAGAAATCGATAGGTAACAAATTCAGAAAGAGTTTTGTGTTTTTAATCTTTATTATTACCTAGTCAGGTCATAAATTCTGTCACACGTTTAATGTAAAATAATTGAAACAAGTTTATTCATTATGTAACCATTCATATACCAAAATGAACTTAACAAAACATAGATTCTTATGACACTAAAGTTTATTCAAAACGACCTCCGTGATTTTGAATACAGGCCTTCAATCTGCGCGGCCAGTCGTCTATCGCAGCACGAACGAGGTCCATGTCAATATCGGCGGCTGCCTTAATCAAGGATGTCTTGAGTGACTCCAAATTGGGATGAGGCTTTGAGCACGCCTTTTCCTCCAAGTGTTGCCATATCTTGTAATCTAACGGATTCAAATCTGGACTGGAGGAGGGCCAGTCTTCGTGCCGGATGAAGTCGATTTCACGCGCCGCCAGCCAGTCTTGTGTGCTCTTCGCTCTATGAGCTGGCGCCGAATCTTGTTGGAATACCCAGTGCCTGTTATTGAACATGGTATGAGAAACAGGTTCCACAAGGTTCGTCAGGACTGTATTTTGATACACAACTGCATTCGTTTTTACACCTTTCTCACAAAAATGTACCTCTGTTAAGCCCCAATAAGAAACTCCCAACCATACCATGAGCGAGGATGGAAAATGACCTCGTTGGACACGCGGAATACGGTTGCTCG